GGAAACAATATATATAATATTTTTGGTACGAATATTTTACCTTGTTTTTGAATAAAATGAATTTTGAAATGCATTTATGTACGACTTGATAAACATATTTGCCTTTATTATTTCTATTTTTGTAAATTTTCTAAACACAATGATATATGTATGTGGCATGGAAATAATATAACAGGTTTTTACAGATTATTTATATCTTTTGTTACATTTGTTGATGCAATTAAAAACCTACATGTATATAGTCAGTTAATGTTTGTTTTATTTTTTGTAGTAAAACAAACAAATTCATTTATTTAAATAATTGGAAAGTCGTCTTCTGTATCGTTTACTTGTAAAATTATTAATGCAATTCTATATGCAAGCGGTATCCCTATTTTTTTTTTCTATATCGCGATGACTATATTGCGATGACTCAACAACAAATTAAAAGTTAACTTGGGTAGAATTAATGCATATCTATATTTAACAAATATAATAAGATCAGAACATTTCAAAAATAATGAGTGCGAAACGTTAGTCAATCAATTGTATTTGCATATTCATTAAATTTTTCATCGAAATCAATTTTTTCAGACGGTTCGTGGACAAAATACATTACCGTCTCGCTATCCTGACTTATTTTTATATACATAATCACCCTCTTTTTTTATTACGTTTCATGTATATGTATATGTATATTCGTCTTTTACTTTTGAAATACCCTAGAGCAAAAATATTCTAATGAAATAGTGTTTCTTTTTGCGTTCGTAGTTAATTACTTTCCTCGAGCAAAGTCAGTAGAAGGAGAAGTTCGCGACGGAGAAAACGCAGCCGACGATGGTGGAAAACTCGGCGGGCAGTTAATACAGAGCGAGATCCAGGAAATAAATTGCCCGGCCCGGCGCGGCGCGCGCTTGCGGCGCGTGTCCGCTCGCTCGCCTCTCTCGTGCTCTATATATATATATAGTTATGCATTTATTTATTAACCAAGTTTTATTTGTCTCCCGGGCAAAATAACGCAAGGGAGGAAGAGAGAAAGAAAGGGAGCGTAAACAACGTGGTGTGTGCGGTCGCGCGACAACTCACGAACTGCCACCGCCAATTGCTGGCGATCCGTTTTATCCCGGAGCGTCCTCGATCCGTCTACGTCGTACGTCGAGGCATGATAAATCAGCGTCGCGTCGCATCGCGTCGCATCCGCGTCGCGTCGCGTCCCGTCGCATCCCGTCGCGTCGCGTCGCGTCGCGTCGCGTCGCGTCGAGTCGGGTTTGCCCGCTCGTTCGCTCGTGGCGAGTATCGCATTGACGATAGGCGAGCTCGGCCGCAACATGGCCGTCTATCCCGCATCGTATCCTGAGCGCGCCGCGCCGGTTTGTTTTTACCTCTTTCTCTCTTCCCCGGTCCCAAGTTGTTTATCGCGGTGGGATTAATGTCTACTTTTTGCGCGCGCGAGCATGAAAAATTTCGCGGCCCGTACGTCGCCCGCCGGATTCGGCAGCATTTTTAACGATCAGCCTTTCTTCAGTCTCCGGCGTTAATCCGATCAATGGGACGGTAGTGAAAATGCGGGAACTTTATTTGTGGCTTCGTACGGTTATACATACATAGAATCGGATTATGACACGTCGTGACGATTATACGATAAGAATTGATATAAAAAATAACGGCCAATGAGCGTGACTGTACCGTGGAAAATTAACGTGATTACTTGCAGTCGAGCTCTTGCTGTGATTATATAATGCTGACAACGAGCCTAACACGGTTGAATCTTTAACGATCACTTTGAATGGAAACAGACGAAACATAACTATGCGAGCGAGCTTCTCTTTAGACGCATTTATGCAAATGGATTAACAAACCCAGCACAATCGAGTTATGCGAAAATTCATAATTTATTAACTATGGAAACACGTGTTTCTGTACAATTACCTTTACATCCACGTGGAATGGACTTTACAGCTTCCAGTTATCTTCGATGGTTTTTTTCTTCATTTCTGGACACGAAAAGGGATTGCATTTTGCATTCGCGGAAATGTAACGGGCGAATATTTACGAAGCATTTTGAGGCATCAAAAAATCTTTTTCAATCTCTACGTTCTACAGAAGGATCTAAAGCTATGTGTATACGTACGTATGTAAATCCTATACACAACTAGAGCTAAACCGATTACAACCATTTACGAAATATTGTATGACTGCTCGGAAGCGAGACTGCACGCGCAGATTGCTTCTTCTAAAATTTATAATCAATTTTTACACTTTTATGTGAAGAAAAGTTACATTATTTTATAGCTTTGCAAACTGTCGTAATCTTTCAATCGTCAAAGTGTTTTTCGATAAACTCGTGTGTGTGCGTGTGTGTGTGTGTGTGTGTGTGTGTGTCTTCGAGTAATAAAAATGATAATATCCTGAATTTTCCTAAATTCGAATACAAAAGTTGGTTTTACAAAATTAAAAAAATTTATTTGTTATCACTGAAAAATATGTAATACTGCGAACCGCACCGATTTCCGCAAGAGTGAAAATATACTCTCCGTGACAGAGTTAATAAAGAGCGTTCCCAGCAACTGAAAATGCATTCTCTAAATACCTCTGATCGTCGGCTTGTCCGGTGCGTTCTCGTCAGATGAGAAGGGACGACAAGAGAGAAGACTTGAATGACGGGACTTCCAGAAGTAGGTATACGGCGTCACGTGACGACCGCCGATCTCTGCCACGAAACATCGAACGCCCGCGATTTGGACCGACTTCTCCGCGCATCGGCTTATGTTGGCATTGCGCGAATAGTTCGGCGACTCTTCGGTATCCGCCGACCACTGTTTATTGCATACCGATGCCAAACACCGGGAACCATCTCGGACGAGGCATGACGGCGAGGATCGTTTCCAAGTTCTCGATCATCTCATGGTAAGGCCGGAACGAAAGATATCGGAATGCTAGAGGACGGAACGAGCCATGGATCTAACGGCTCCTGAATGCTGGAGTCCAAGGAATCCCGGGACATAATAACCCTTTAAAATTTTGAAGCGTGTTTGACGAAAAGATTTGCGCGATGATGTAGAAATACAATCGATGCTTTAACTTGATGACTCAACTACTGTATTCACGTAATTTGAACGCGGATAAGATAATACGGCTCTCTATCGATTTACGACATCTTAAGATTGTATTTAAGACAGTCTAAAGCGGCGTTTACAATGAGATTTTAAGGCATAAAACTCAAACTTAAATCTTAAGTCGTAAGAAATTATTTAATTATAATCGATTATCTTCTTCACTTTCAATTGTGATTGATCAATTTCTTCTGGTTTGAGGCTTAAAGCTTAAGTTTTATGCCTTAAAATCTCGTAGACGCCACTTAAAATATAAAATTCGACTACAAATAGACAAAGTGTCATAACATTTCAATTTATTTAATTGAAGCGTTTCCTATTCTGGGACGTCTTCCCACGCGTTTGCGCCGAAGCTTCTTGTCACGCGCGCGTTTTGTATCGACCCACAGAGAGGAAGTGGACTCTCGGACGCAGCGGGTTACGATGAGCGTAATATATCCGAGTGAGCATTCGTTTGTGGAGTTAGGGAAGAATGAAGAAAGAAGCGAGTAGATATCACTAGCGTCAAATGGCCGGAGATAAAAAGACGAGCTACAATGGCACGATGAATGTCCCAGACCGATAACGTGCTGACTCTTAGTAACGCGTATGTATAGCGCGCAATTTTTTTTGTTTCCTAATGTATAATAATTTTTCCGCTACGATATTAGGTCTCTATTTTTTTTCTGTGGCTGAACTAGTATACACTTTTGGAACTTAAAATGAGAGAGGTATATGTTTGATATTTGACGAAAAAGCGAGAAAGAGAATTTTCTAGCACAAACCATATAGTGCAGAAATAAAAAATAGATTTACTGAGAAGCATAAAAAAAACGAGAGCTGTCTGTGAGATTTTAAACAAACTTTAGACAAACGAATATTTCATTAGTCCATAAGAGAGACTAAAGATAAACGTAACGATTTGCTTTTTTGATTCTATAACTTTTATAAGTTATGTAAAATTTTTTAATGAATCCTACGCAATAGTAAATCTACATTATTAGACAACATAATTGAAACGAAAAACTAACAATATATTACATCAATTTTTCTAAAGTACCATTCGTTACTTTTGTTTCTATCCCTAGGAATAAAAGTAACACGCAATGAAATTGTGAGTAGGAACCGTAATACTCTGTTTAACTTTAATATGAATTAATAGAAGAGATGCTTCTAAAAGGATTTTTATTTAGGTAAATATAAGCACAATTTACACAATTGTACTAATTTCGTAATTATCTGTCAAACATCAGATTATAACATAGCAATATATGCACGCATGCTTACCATTCAAGAAATCGAACATCGTATGATACCATCGTAAGCAAAACGCATAGAAAAAATCAAATGGAACAAAGTAACATCTTATCACTTTCGTCCTCATTAAGATATCATTATACATGCTCATCTAACATAACCATAACAAATTTTATATCTATCTTTAAGAGTCTTTAATGTCTATTTAATACAATGCAAACAAAAACGGAGAGTTTGTATTGTCAATAATTGAGGCGAAGGAAGGGTGTAATTGACATGTAAAAATGGAGGGAAAAAAATTATTGGTCGATTGATATCTTTTCTATAACGTTTGTTACTTCATGTTATATTTGTCCCTGATCTCCCCTACTCTGCACATCGAAGGTGATTATTACCGATCGAAGAGTGACCATGGTTACTTTAGGACTAACAATTGACCACTTATTGTTTCAATGCTGCAATTGCTTGCAGTTTTAAATGGAAACTGGCCGAATGTAGATTGATGAAGAATCCTTATCAAATAATCTCGCAGGCTACATACAGAAAGAAATTCACACAGTAAAGCTTGTGTTAACGCTAAGGTGTAAAGAGTAATCATTTTTGAACAGTGCAATCTAAGTTGTTATATGATATAAGTTGTTGGGAACTTCTGTTCTACCGATAACGACAAATATGTCATTGAAATTTCAAAGATATATTAAGTGCAAAGTGTGGCAAAAATGGCAGCTGTTCCATGCTACGGACTTTCAATCGCTTATGTATCCTTGCTTCACCTTTTGCCGCATATTCGGATTATTTCCGTATCGCATCAACGCTTCAACTTTTGAAACTACAAAGCAGCTCTATTTTTGGACAACTTTCATTACTTGCATTTTCTGTATTTATGAACTAATAATACTGTACTGGATAAACATTACTGGGACGATCAATTTTGTTATCATACCTGTAACTTTTGAACGTAATTGTTTTTTTATACTCGGCGGATTTATCAGGATTGTTACGTACATTTTAAACGGTCCTCGGATGCGCTTACTTCAAAATGTAATGGAAATCTCTTTAAGACTGTCTCCTGATTCGTACCGAAAGCTTTCTAAACTGATTCACGCTAAAGATATTTTCGGTTTCTTCTTTCTAGTTGGACGAATAACATTTTATTATTATATAATAAATTTTGGTATCATAGACAAGATTCTCGTACTATATATCACCTTTACAGTATTTCAAATGGATATGTTGTATATAAATTGTGTATGCGTATTAAAAGCCTGTTTTAAGGAAGTCAACGATAATTTGAAGAATTTGCGGAAGCTCGTGGTGAACGACAAACCACATCTTTTGAGAAGAATTTATCATGAGCAGAGAAATCCATTCTTACTAACAAAACTTCAAGCTTTGAGAAAACAGCATTTGATGATCAGTGACACAGTGCAAATGTTGAATACGACTTTTAGTCTACAACTTCTTGCTACCATAGTTCTGACTTTTGCTGAGCTTACCTTTTATCTATATTTTTATATCATTTATTGGGAAATTAACATGAAAAACCACATGTTTTATGTAATGATATATATAATATCTTTGATGTATTATTGCATCAAAATATCATTGATGGGATGGGCTTGTGATACAGGCAAGGATGAGGCTATAAAGATTGGTACCAACGTTCATGAAATACTAAACGATACTATCGATGAACAAATCAAAGATGAAGTAAATAAAACAATAAAATTTTATTTGTACATTTTTTTGAAGATATTTCGCGTGTCAAATTTTACATATTAAATCTGTGCAGTTAGTAATTATTTCTTAATTTTGTACTTAATTATCTTCTAATCTGATGTTTTGTAGTTGCAGCTGTTCTCCATGCAAGTACTGAATCGGGAAAATACATTTTCCGCTAAGGGTCTTATATTAGACGCAACGCTTCTCGTTGCGGTGAGTCAATAATTATTTGTTTTAGGTAATGTGTATTGCTTATTTATATATAATTTTAATTTTAGATAGTGAGTAATATTACTACATATCTATTAATTTTAATACAATTTTTAATTACTGATAAAGTTTGCAATAAAAAGGTTACAAACGATACCACGTAAACAATCTAATTAAGAGAAGATAATCAAATCAAATAAAGAATATATATTTAAATATAAAAACGTATTCTTTTGTGTATGTTTTAGCATTAGATACATGTGAATGTATGTCAAATACATAAATATATTTGTAAGAAATATTGTCTTACTAATATGATAACTTGAGTTTAAAATTTATTAACGATTACCTTTGATTAATCTTATCTAATATCTATATAAATCAATTCAGATTTGCTATACTTTTATTTTTTCCACAACATTAACGATAGGAAAGGAAATATATTTTTAAAATGGACTTTATGATTAAATTTTTTATTTTTGTAAACAGCTTATTAAATATTTTTTTGCATTTTGAGCTAATTTATTTATTAACGATGATTAAAAGACATTTTATTGAAATGTAATGCGATTGATGAATTAACGTAATAACATTCATGTCTTTTGTCATTGCATTCTTTTATTATTGCTGAAATAAAAAAAATTAATCATCCTGCACACAATCTATAAATTATGATCTATTACACATTTCATCGAAGAGAATATGTTGATTATCTTGAATATAAATAAGTAGTTATATAGATTATGATCTATTAAAAATTTTACCAAGAAAAATATGTCGATCAGTTTTAATCTAGATAAATAGTTAGATTAATCACATAATCAATAGCACTGTACTTTGATTCTGAATAACTCTACCTTAACAACTAATAAATAACAGTCTGTTACAGTTTTTGAGAAATTTAAAGTTAAAATGCAATTTTTAGTAGTAAATCTTTTCTTTAGAGAATAAGTTCCTAAGGGACTACTTTCCGTCTGACTTTCCACACAAAGCGAGGTCTACTCCACCTCCGCCCCGCCTAGAGATGTTCAATTTTCTATGTAAAACGAGGTCCATTCCACTTCTCCCCTGTTTAAGGACGTCCGACTTTCTACGCCCACGCAAAGTGAGGTCCACCCCATTTGTTTCTCTGCTTAGGAGCGTCCGACTTTCTAGGCCGGGAGGTATGATGTAGATGATCTCATTTTGCATGGAAAGTCTGACGTTCTTAGACGTAGAAAAAAACTGAATGGAGACAAAGTAACATCTTGTCACTCATTAACATGTTACTACATGCTCATTTAACTTACAATCATAATAAATTTTATATCTATCTTCAAGTTTAATGTTTATTTAATACAATGCAAAAAACCGGACAATTAGAATGAAAAGATATACAATTGAAATTGATACTAAAAACTTACTTTTGATGTATTTTTGATAAAATAGTAAAATTCCAAGAATCGCTTATTTATACATATGTATTACTATTATTTATACGTCAATAACTGAAGTGAAAAAGAGGTGTGATCGACATATAAAAGTGGAAGACGTAATTTATTGGTTAATTGATACTTTTTTTTTTGTAACATTTGTTACTTTCGTCCCGTGTTACATTTGCCCCTGGTCTCCTTTACTTAACATTACATTTTAGCTTACGTATTGATAAAAACTTGGACGAATTTATGTTCCTTTGAAGTCTACTCTGCGTGGATTGGTACCAAAAGTATTTCGCTTTTTTATTTATAAAAAACGTGCTTTTTACGATGCGTTTGCATAAGCGCCTGGAAAATAAATACACACAAACACGCACGCGTTATAATATATTATATGTTTTAAATTCGCCTCACGAATGTGTTCCTTAACATTTCAGATTTACCCTTCCATATTCACGAGTGCAGGTCACGAGTGTGCTTTCCTTTTTTTTTTTATTGCCGTCTCTCAATTTGCATATTTCGTGTCTCTCAAAGTATCCGTGTCGCGGAATTTGGTTTCCTTCGAAAGAAGTGAGCGGATGTTGTACTACTCTATGCCAACTAGTTCCCTGATGCGTTAGCAACGTTCGTTACAACATTAACGTCGCGGATGTTGGTGGGAAATACAACCTTCCGCCGTCAGAAATACAAACATCAGGCCGATTTATTCATTAGATACAACAAATATAATGCCTAAAAACTCACAAGTCTATCCAATTTCCAAACAGAAATCTCTGTTGAAGTATAATATGTAAAATAAAAAAAGAAAAAAAGAGATTAATAAATTACTTTATAAAACAATTTACAATAAATTACATATTGTCTGTTTTTAACAACTTCCAAAATTTAAACAATAAACATTTTAATCATAAGGTGCTTAAATGAGAAAAATATCTAATTAACAGTTGCTACTATTTCATTCAAATAAAAAAGAACCTGATAGGTTTGGCGAAAAAGTTATGAGCCATTAAAATAGTAAAAACCGTGATTTGTGTTCGTATTGCATTTGATCTAATGCCGTGTGTATATCGTAGACTGCACATAAAGACACGTTCTTAATAAAACGCGCGAAGGCAAGATTTAAAACGTTCCTGCGTAACTATAGCTTTCGGTAGCCGCTGTTAACGAGTGGCATCGCTCAGGTGGGGCTTAAAGCCTCGTTAGAAGGCTAACAACCGGCCATGTATCTTGCGAATCGCCGATTCGGAACAACGTACGTAAGTAGATAGGTAGGTAGGTATCTTCTAGGATCGTCCCACGGGCGCTGGAATCTACAAATTTATACGACCGTCGAACCGAAGCCTTTCTACCAAGACCTGTCTTGCCGTGACATTTGTCACCGCGGATTATTTTGTATCGACGAACTTACCCCGGTATTAACTCATGGAAAGGACTCTCTCTTCTTCTCTTTCTCTTTCTCCCTTTCTCTCTTTCTCTCTTAATTTAGACTTAAGGTTATTTGTAAGAGTTGTATTTTTCAAATAATAATAAGAATTCATTCATTCATTCATTCATTCATTCATTCTCTCTCTCTCTCTCTCTCTCTCTCTCTCTCTCTCTCTCTCTCTCAACATTGATTACTATTTTTGTTTTTTTTTTACATATATTTCTCCACTATATTCTTGCTTATTATATTACATTATATTCTATCTGTAAATTTTATTCTTGTATATTTTCCCCAAATTTCTACGCTATTTGTCTATACATTTTCTTACTTTGTATTTCTCCAAATTTCTGCGCTATTTGTTTGTTAAATTTCTTATTTTGTGTTTTCCCACTCTTGAACGTTGTTGTTTATTCTTTCTGCGTGTTATGAGAGGGCATACCGTAGAACATCAATAAATGTTTCATCTATCTATCTACCTATCTATCTACCTATCTATCTCTTCATATCTCTCACGTGCGCCTAAGAAATAATCGATTACTGACGAGAGTCCGCCACACTGGTACGTCGCGAGACAAAACGTACGCCGTTTTTCGCAGCCCGATAACGCTCTCACGTGGTACGACGGTTTCGTAATCTCATTTGTCGCGGATCTTTTCATCGAATCTCGGGACGTCCCGGATTCGCCGCGAGAGGAAATTGTGTATATCAGCCAGTCTCTTGCGTGAGAGTAGCCAGCCTCCGCCAAATTTCCGGACTATAGAGATGTTTAGAGATTCACTTTTTATCGTCGATTATTTAATAATTCCAGATAACTGTCTGGCGTTCATCGGAGCGGATTCTGCAACTTCAGTACTGCTGATCGTGCAGTAAAATGAAAGCTTCTTCCGCACTCTGAAGT